GTCCACTCCTCCGCACGAAGCCGGCGAATCGAGAGACTTGTCGACCCAGAGTAGCGCCACTGAACTGCCGCAGCTCAAACAAGGCAGAAGTATGACGTCTACTTCGATCGGAAGAGCGCGAAGTGGAAGCGCTTCGACGCTCGCAAATGCGAGGAACATGATTGAGCGCACGCTTGGTGGTCGGTCGCGTGGTGGGAGCATCAGCAACGAGCATTCCACGCCCAAGACTAGGACGCGGTCGGGATCCAACCCGCTGTCGCGCCTCATGAACAGGACAGCAACTCCAACGCAATCGGAGCACGAGGTCGATCCAAGCGTCGCGAACGACACTCCCGTCGCTCCTGGCATCTGCACCCCGACTTTCGGCAACATGAACTGGAGCCTGCCGCCTCTGGACACTCGCACCGCCCCTGCATCCCACGATGACATGTGGGATGCTCTCAACTCTTCAGAAGAGCTCACAGAGATGCTCGATTCGGAAAGCGTGCCCAGAGACTTTGGTGACGCTGAGAACCACCTTACTCGCCGTTCGCTCGGTCTGGGCTTTGACCCCACTGGACTGGTAGCTTAGGTCTGCAACCGCACGCTTTGGATAGCAGTTTACCGGATGCGTCTTGCCAATTATCATTACCGCGCTTCTTTGCAACATTCTTGATTCGGACCCCTCGCGTCGCTCCCGCCCCATCACGATTCACGATGACACATCTACCACATCACCACATCAACAATCACGAAACTCACGCAATTTGTCACGCTTTTTTCGCAGCCTGAATGGAATTCAATTCGTTCCACGATCCTCTGACCCGTAGCACCGACTGCTTGGCATGGTCCAATGTTGCGCGAACGCCACCGTCGTTTTCCTGTCGCTGCTGAGAGCACCAGGCTTCTAGGGTATGAGTGTCCGCAGCACGATCGATGCGCAGCTACTGTGACTGCGACTGCGTAGAGTGACGTGGAAGGTCAAGGCTTGCAGAGGGAAGAGACCCAGCTTGCAAAGTGAAGAGCGAGGAAGTTCCACCAGGTCACGAAGTGACGAGTTATGCGGGAGTCAAAAGAAGCACAACAGTCCCAGCAATCACGATGCATCAGTCGTGCGTGCATGGGGAGATGTACGACCGTCGTCGAGCTGTGATCTCTGTCTGTGCATGGTGATCCGGAGTCGATATACGCGATCCAGTCGTGAGTGCTGGCCATCGGCTTCATTCGATTCGTGATTTAGTGCGTGACCGAGCTCAGCAACGATTGGGCGCGCGCGGGCCGAGGGTGATGTACTACTGTATGCATGCAGGCACGGTGATGCGAAGCACAGCCTCATCAGCCTCGCCTCGCTTTGACACCTCTGGGCGGGCGCGCTCGTGCAGCAGTCATGAGTCATGAGGTGTGCGCGAGAGCATCTTACGAAGGCGGGCGCCCTCTGCAAGCAGTGGAGCGAGCTCGTACGCTCAACGCAGCTAGCACAGCAAAGCTCATCTTGGGTTGACAGTTGTGGATGTGTCTATGGGGCAACTCCTAAAATGCTGCAAGACTCGTAACTCAAAGGCGAGCAGAAGATGCGATTGCGAGTTGCGGTGACAAAGCGTAAACGCGGGAGAAAGTAGGATCGAGTTGTGAGGGCGCTGCAGAATGCGCGCTGCGCGCTGCATGCGCGCTCCTCCTCCTCATCCTGACTGAGGGCGTGTGGCTCGGCGCAGCACAGGCGGGGTTTGGCATGGCTTGGCCTTCTCGGCGGTCCTGCCGGTCGATGATGTGCACGCACATGATGCTGTGCCTGCTGAAGATGAATTCGGCACGACGATGCATGCTCATCACGCTTGATCCCGACTTCTCAGATCTCATCAAGCACGGCAAGACAAAGCGTCGCGCTCGTGACCACTTCTTCCATCACGAATGAAGCTGCTGTGCACTCACAAGAAGCATCATCATCCATCCATCCATCCATCCTCGGCTCTCACACTCGCGATTGTGGTCCCCATTCCGGAACAAGACGTGCAGATCACTCATCACCTCAAGGCTGCATTCGATTTCGTCGGTCTCTCTGCGATCAAAGAACCTCGCATACTCTCAATTCTCTCTCTGTGCCCCCTGCGCAAGGTTTGACAGTCTGCACCCGTGCAAACACTTGGCTATCCCCAACACGTACCCGTCGTCGGCGCGGGCAACCTGGGATCTGACGGCCCTCTTGCGCAGCCAGACGAAGGATACGTGCACGGCCGCATCATCATGAAGAAGATCTTTGGCCGCAAAGACGCGGTCACTCCGTACCGCGATGCTGATGCTCCTGTGGCGTCAGAAGGACACGAAGTGCTGCGTCGCCAGGCATCCATTGGACACAGCTATGGCATGCAGCAACAGCAACAACAACAGCAGCAGCAGCAGCATGCTCAATGGCATCCAGACCCTCACTATGGTCAACGAGTCTACCCGACGTCCCAGCAGTTCTCGGACAGCGCAGAACCTGGAGCGTATCCTCGCCCACCCCAGCAGTCCCTTGCACGGACAGCTTCGCCTTCAGGTAAGCCCTTGGGTTATCAAGGGGCAGATGCGCCAATCCTCGGTAGACCGAACGGGGACGGGCAGAACGCGGGGCAATACCACTCTGCATACCCTAGCGAAGGTCTAGGTGCTAGTACTGGTACCGCGGACAACCAATACCGCAACCAAACGTCTGCACCCAGCCACATCCCCATTGCCCCGCGACGTCGAACGAGCGACTACGACAGCAGCTCTTCGCCACAAGCATCGCCAGCGCATGGTCGTGCGGACCTGCCACCACATGCCAGCAGGCAGCCGAGACAGGGCAGTCTGGACATGCGCAACTTGAATCTTGGAAGCCGTGGTGGCATGCCCGCCTTCTCACAGGGGCTGCCACCTGCTGATCAGCCTCTGCGCAATGGGACTCGAGCTCAATATCTTGACACGCAGGACTATGCCACTCCAGGTAGCCCGGTGGTCGAGCCTCCGACGCCACTGGACGACGCTCCCCGATCCTCACCGCGCTTGAGCAGGTGGCGGAGCTTGCGCCAATCTTCCGATGCGAAGCGTGAGAGACTAGCGTCGCGCGATAGCGGAGCCGACAATAGCGCATTCTACCCTTCCTATGCGCCTCCTGATCAGGCAAGGGAGACACACTACCACTCACATCTGCCTCACGAGCACTCTTCGTCACCTGGAGCAAGATACGAGCCCGATCTACAGCACGAGCATGCACAGGTCAAGCCCAAGCGTAAATTGTTCGGCTTTGGTAGGGATAAGAAAGACAAGGAGCAGGAGCATAATGCGGAGAATCTGAATCATGCCGAGGCTCAAGAGAGTCCCGCAACCCGCCTCAACCGCGGATCCGGATCTTCGCAGGCGCACGCCCCAAATCAACCAGCGCAGACGAATGCGCAGGCAAAGGAGCCAGCCTGGTACGACTTGGTGACGGGAAGCCGAGTCACACCAGCGAAGGGAGAAGGATTGGTGCACACGAAGATTGGTGAGTGCCTTGGCGAAGCACGCTACCGAATGAGCTTGTATCTCGTTCGACATGCTGACCCTCCCCCGCTACGCCCACTCGGCAGGTTGGCTGTGCGCGCGACCAGCTGAAGCTTGGGACTGGAGCTACTTGATGTCGCTGGTGGACAGCATCTCACACTCCGAAGCAGCCGCGAAGGAGGCGGCTCGCGCTCTAAGGAAAGAGTTCAAGTATGGGGACATTGAGCCGCGCAAGCGAGCAACCAAGATTTGGGCTGTCCTCACTCTGAATGGCAGTGATCGCTTCAAGATGCAAGTCGCTGATAAGAAATTTTTGTCGGTCATCGAGGAGGTCATCACCAGCCACAAGACGCCTATCAGCGTCAAGGAGCAGCTAATAGAAGTATTCGGCATGCTAGCCTTCGAGGTAAGTCACGCGGGCTGTGATGGCCCTGCTGCGTGCGCTCATGGCCAAGCCATCGCTTTCTCTTTAGTTCAAAGACGACACAGAGCTCCACAGTGTTACAAAGGCATACAATCGCGTCCGCCCTTCAGACAGACCTCTCGATGTGAGTAGCGAACGTGCTTTTCATGATGCCAATCAACTGCGACTGACATGGAGCTGCCAACCTCAGGGCACACCTTTGAACCCTGAGCACGAGATTTTCCGTCCAGTCTCATCAATGCCACCTGGCGCAGCTCAGGTCCAGTCCGCCTTGCGAGCAAACGGCGTGCAGAGACACACCCCCCGACAGCGCAAACCACGGAGCCCGGGCGAGGAGATGGCGAGGCTCCATCGCGAGTGCACCGTTGCCAGAGAGAGTGCGCACATGCTTGTTGAGAATCTTGCTGAAGCTGGTATGGACAGTGCTTTAGTTGCTGTGAGTCTGCGGAGAGATGGCGTCAAGTTGCAGAGCGCTTTGCTTAATGCTGGGAGACCCGAACTCTCTGCAGGAGTTTTCGGCCAAAACGCTCGACTCTGAAGAATTCCTCATGGGCCAGATACCGTGGGCGACTGCGCAGGCCGACCGGTCACGCGCGGATCTCGCTGCACAAATTGCACAAGAACGCGCAGAAGGTCGGCCGGCGTCTGCGATCAGTCAGACTCAGGAAGAGCGCCTGCTAGCTGATCTTTTGGATGCACACGAACGTGTTGTGCAAGCTCGAGAGATGCTTGGGCACGTCCAAACGCAACATCATCAAGAGGATGAAGACGAGAGGCTGGCAATTGAGCGCAGTCGATATGAAGTACGAGTAGATCGGAGCAAGCTGCGACAGGATGCTGTGACTGGAGATCTGTACTCTATCGATGCAGGCCAGTCACTGGCAGCGCCCGTGATGGAGGCACAGGGTTCTAGCTCCTCTTCGCGACCTCCGTCGCCGGCTCCTCCAGCCCACCGGCCTCTGCCTGTGCCCTCCCCAGTGGCATCTTCGGAAGGCGCTGCGCACTCCATTGGGAGTGCTGCCGGGATGAATGGGAGCAGACTTACTAATCCCAACGCGCACACTCGCGAGCTTTCAGCTTCGAGCACTTCATCTGGCCGTGCACCTAGAGAGGCGCGTCCTGATGGCCCGCGTCCAGCGAGCCTCGTGCCTGGGGGACATGCTTTGCCACACGGCCCCCGCCCTCTGCCCTCTACTGCCGGTGCGGCCTCATCAGCCCACAAGGCAATCACCGCTGCTCGCAGTACCGCTTCCCCGACACCCGGTGCTATGCCTACAGCTCCTCATGTCGCACAAGGCAGACCCGAACAAGAGCCAGCGGTGCTAGAGAACAGCGCGCGACCTGCAGCTCTGCCGCCAATAGAGGCGCTCAAGATAGACAGTCAGGCGGGCAGTGGGACAGGCGGCATTACTGCACCCGTACCGACGGGCGCTGTTCGATTGGATGACGACAACGAGAGCGTCATCATGACGCCTGTGCAGCCCTCTGCCAAAGCTCTTGGCAAGCGGAGGCAACTTTCAGGCGACAATTCAGATCAAACCCAAGCGAACACCACCGCCGCGACTCGCCTAGCTTCTTCACCTCGCCTTTCTCCCGTAGCGGATGAGAAGCGCCTTGCGAGGGAAGAGCTGCTGAATAGGCCTCCGCCCGCAGCACCAGTCGAGCCGTACTTTGCAGCTCAGCAAACGCAATCTCCTCCCGCGCTCGCCTCCAACAATCCTTTCCTCAATCACCCTGCTTTTGTCGGTCGTGAGGCGCAAACAGGAACCAACCCCTTTTTTGCTCAGCCGCAACCTTGAGAGGCAATACATATCTGTCAGACTGGGCCTCATCAAGCGCATGTAGAATCGGTGTCACTTTCTCACATTGTACATTGGCACTGACCCAATACTCTTGTGACGCTCTTGAATATGGCACAACTCGAACGCATTGGCTGCGCGAATGAGCAAATCAACGCGCAGACCCGATCTGCTGTTCGTTTGATTGAGCGTGGCCCAAAATGTGAAGGGCGCGAGTGACACCAAACGAATCCGAGGCTCGAGTGTGCGGGCAAGCTCCAAGCTTGAAGTGATTAGACTCTCTTTGTCGAGAAGGCTGATGATGGAGTTGATGCACGTCTTGGGGAAACGCTCAGCTGTAATAGACACAGCATCCCGCTTGGCATCATTCTGTCGTGCTCTGTAATCGATGTCGCGCTGATTGATGATGAATCAGTGAATGGTTCCTCGGCGAGCGACAGACCTGGAACTAGGCACCTGTTCAACAAAGTTCAGCCTAGCTCCTGAGCGCACTCTTCAGCCTTTGGCAGACCACACCAGCACTGCTTCCTCAACACCAGCATCGCGAGCACCAGCGCCTCTCTTGATCTTGACGCTACCGCTAACGACGACGCGATGTGCACTGCTCTCAAACGTGTCCTACAACTTTGCTTTATGAGCTGCAAGCATCTAGCTCGTCCGCTTTATCCCTGCCGACCTCCGCCACCGTCGCTTACACTACAGCTGCCCACGGCAGAACAACAGCAAGCCATTCCTGTAGAGGTCAAGGCCAAGGGAGGCTCAAAGGTAGCAGCGTCATCGAAAAGCGCCGAACCCTCCTTGTCCCAGCTCGGCTTTACAAACGCCGGTATCGCCAAGCGATCCATCGCCTCGAATTTTCAGTCGAAGATGGACAAGACTTCTCAGCCTTACGGCAGCTCGTTTAGCAAGATGCAGAGCATGGCGAGCAAAGCATCGAAGCCGAGCA